TTCAAATAAATAATGAGCATTAATATGCAGCACAGTGGTCTATTGTATAGAACTTTTTTTTGTTGTTTGTGGTTTTCAAAAGTCCTGAAATTTGTTAATGACACTATATATTTAAACTGGAATTATCACTTCTAAGTGATAGTGACATATCTTCATATGATCATCACGCTAAGCGCTAATGCAGTAAGTATCAAAATGCACACTTACCTCCACAGCTCTTTTGTGTCCTGGTTGACATTATCACCCCTATAATGCCGAACACTTGGGCAATTCTTCAACAGCCAGGTATATATTATACATTTAAAAATCACAAAAGTAAAAAAAAAAATGCTAAAATTTAGGTTGTGTAACAATCGTAGACATATGATGCACTTTAATTTTTCTTTTTTTCTTTAAAAGGACATTCATTTTTTTTAGTGACTAATAGCAAATATAAATATTCCTTTATGTAATATTTGATCGTTTGCGGAAATCAAAATAATCTAAGAAGTAGTTCAATCTGCAAATGTGCTTTGAAATTTTATTGTTACAAATAAGAAACTATCAACCAACACTGTTTGCTAACTCAACTTTCAAAAGAACAAATCAAGCCTATGTATCATTCCTGGCTGGGAATGTTGATACAATTACCCATTGCCATAATACACTGCAGGAACTGTTTAGGGAAATCTCGGAGTGCCCTATAAATCTACGAAAGACGTCTAGTTGACTAAAGGCATAAAAGCTAAAGAAATAGGAAAGTGGAGGTTGAATTGGTGGCTAATACATGTTTTAAGAAAAATATCCCATTATTACTTCTGCAAAGAAAGAGTGATGGTTATTTAACTATTTTCTCCATGGCAACTAAAACAATCACTGACTTTGGACTGAAAATGCATATATTGTGAATATGTAACACACAATAATTTTAAACAAGGAAACACAACCTTGTTAGCAGACATACTAAGCTTTCATCAACAGCAATTAATTCTACGTCATTGAACTGGCCGTGCCATCTGCAGTCTTGTCTCCCTGGTTTTTACTCACAAGAGACCTGCCGTGGGATATATTTACGATGTGTAGAGCAGGAACTAAGTTAAACCCGCCTCGATTTATTTCATGTACAGTATAACATTTCCCATTTCTGCTCTTTAGTTCCTGGTCACTGCAGATTATTCATCTTATGCGCGGGACTAGCCTGATAAATTTACCCTTACATTTGAACTTCCTTTTTTTTTTTAACTGCTGTCCCCAAGTTGCACTGAAAAACAATACGGCACAAAAATTATTAATGGGAACATCTGGTAAGATGATTGTTGGGATTTTAGTAAGCTTAGTAAGATTTTAGTAAGTTTCCAAGAACTAACTGAATAAATAAGAAAAGAGCGCGAGAGAGCGTGAAAGTGAAGGCTACATTTATCGTCAATCAAATGAATGTAAAAATAAGACAAAGGAAACTGATCCAATAATTCTTTTAACTGTACAATATCTTGTCCAATGTTTAAATGGGCAGATCGTGTTTTCAGTCAAAATGCTGCATGGATTTTGACATCTTCTATGCAATTATAATAATGCACACTTTGCCACGGTGCGCTACGGCAGTCTGTGAATCCTGGGCAGAATTAGGACATGTATGTTCTGGTCCATCCTGAAGTAGGAGATACACATCTAAAATCATTGCAACCTGGGCATGCATCTTCCAAAATTACAGTGCCCTAAAATTATACACATGATATATAATATTTCCCTGTCATTCTTACCTGTTCCAGGGCTCCCTCTCACCAATCCAAAATAAATATGGATGCTGCTTGTGTGCGTCTGTTTATACTAGACTCAGAACTGATTCAGTGGGTGCCAATAAAATTGCGAAAGAAACAAATTCGATAATTTGTTGAACTTGTGTGTTCTGACACTCAGATATGACTTTTCTTCCTATTAAAGGACCACTATAGTGTCAGGAAAACAAACCCATTTTCCTGACACTATATAATCCTTAGGGTCCCCCCACCCTCAGGGCCCCCCTCCTGCTGGGCTGAAGGGGGTTAAAACCCCTTCAGCTACTTACCTTTATCCAGCGCCAGGCTCCCTCAGCGCTGGTGACTTCTCCTCCCCTTCCGACGTCAGCTCCCGAGTGGACCAGAATGCACATTGCGCGGCCAGAGCCGCGCGCGTATTAAAAAAACACCCACATGAAAGCAATGTCCCCCTGGACGTTATGCGTGCTCAATGCGATTTTCGCACACAAGCTCTTTTTCCATATAATCTAGGCAATGTTTTAGACTTGTTTGTGTAGTAAGGCCACTGCAGGAACAGTCCAATGCTTTTCCAGGATATTTATTTACAAAACCTACTCTATTTAATATCAAGGGTACTCTTTCCCCTTAATGCACAAATCAAATTAAAAGCCAAAAAAAACGTATTTTGTTAGGAGACTAACTAAACAGAGGATTTTTCTTTCTAGCAGTACTGGCCAGCTAAGCTAGTTCCCAGTCACAAAACAATAATTTAACAGCACAACGTTTTTACCACTCAGGTTCAGTTTCACACACTCTCTACAAATCTCAGCAGGCTAAATAGGGCTAGGCAGCTGACGCTGCTACAAGCATTAACCCTAGAAGCAGGTAATTAGTGCACTGTCCATATGTTTGCTTATGTACCTGCCCTTAAATAACCTGCCCCTATTGACGCTGTCACATGTTAAAATATTTTACAATCTTTTTCTTATATGGTGCATTTCACTCCATGTGGGGGTGGTAAAAGTGTTTTGTTTTTCACATTTTGAAAGGTAGTCAATTGTCAATGTAACAGCAGTTAAAAGTATTATTTTTAGTTCACAAGAAAAGAGGTTGTATTAATATATTAATTATATTAATTCAATACTCTAAAGTTATGAAAAACTCTTTGATTTAAGAGAGTGTAAAAAGAAACCTAAAGCTAAGTGCAACAAGAATTTAATTTCCATTAAATGGAGTGGTTTATTTAAGGCTACTTGATGTTTGTAAAATAATGTCATTGACAGACCTGTGCATTTAGTTTCATCCGAATTGCAATTAATCCAAATTTGGGACAATTGTCAGCTCGATAAAATTTTGTATCTTTGAAGCCCCGAAACAACGTATAAATAAGCTCACAGCTAGCATGAAGGACAAACGTTTGTTTTGCTTTGAAATTTGTAGAACCACTCGTGGTACCAAATTTGTATTGACAGTTAGAATGAGTAGCAACTAGGTAGCAAAGGATCTAGTTGTTAAAGATGTGGTCATACCCATAATTAGAGTAAGAAGCAGAAAGTAGCCTTGCATTTGTGCTCCCTCTACGCTTGGGTAGCAGCAATGGCTATAGTATTAATTGGTCCATACCTGGGATAATGTACAGATAAGATGATTAGAGAACCCAGGATTTAAAAAAAAAAAGTTGAGTGTCAATGGACCGATTTACACTTGATCTGAAACGGTGTGAAGCTGAGACTCCTAAGATTCAGAAGACTTAACACTGTCCCATGTTGTTGTCTCAGGTTTTAGAATGATAAAGCATGATAGTAGTTGTAGTTCTGAAAAATCTAGTGAACTACACTTTAGAAATTTCTGATTTGAGTGATCTGTAGTTGAAACAGTTGTGTCCACATTTTTTACAACTTATAAGATATAGTCCAGATAATATTGTTGCAGATAGTTACATAGTTACATAGCTGAAAAGAGACATGTGTCCATCAAGTTCCATCTATCTCGTATTTGTTTTTGTTGTTGATCCAAAAGAAGACAAAAACCCTATGTGACTTTCTTAGGTTGACGTGACCTATGTTTCGTAAAACCGTGCTGATTATTGCTTATAACAATAACAGGTTAAGATTTTTTTAAGTTAGCAAGGTTTATGATTCTTCCAGCAAATTCAAGCATCACCATTTATTTTTGATATTTCTCTTTATGAATCTATTGTGTTACTTAAATTTTCAAAGTTTCTCTTAGAACATTTGGTAAATTGAATCTCCCACCATTTGTTCATATCCCAGTGATTAACATTTTTGTTGCACATTTAACTTTGTGTTTGTTGTGTTCTATCTTTCTATTTCTATGTTCTATCTTTCTATTTATATGCAAATAGCTTAAAAAAATAATCATAATATGTGACAAATAGTGAAGGAATCATAAATGTCTTTATTTACATGTATGTACATACGTGTAAAGGAAAAAAAAAAAGTGGAGTTTCTATAGAGGTTTCCTATAAAGGACCAGGACCATAAAACGACAAACCAGTCTTGATTTAAACATTTCTGGTGAGATTAATCATACTACTAGTTGCTATGTATAGCATTGCCAGGCAGACAATTGTAGATGATCTTCTTTGTCTTGTGCCCGATCTGACCAGGAGTTGCTAGCTATGACTGGACGAGGTAGAGAATAAACAGCTTGCTGTTAGACTTGGTAGAAGATAAAGGTATGACTGTTGACACACTTATTACTGATAGGGGGAGATTGCAATGTCGTGTCTTGTTTGGTGGTGGACATGATATCTAGACCGGGGGAATCACATTCTCAGGAATGGGGGAGCCAAGGCAAATCATTTAATAAATGTATGGAATATTTTAGGTTAATAGACATATGAAGAGCAAAGCACCCAGGCGAGTTAGTTTTTATTTTTTTGTTTATTTGCCCCCACACATTACATATTCCCGGATCAACATGTTTTTTTCTAATTTTAAATTGACCCCCTTTTGTGTTACTATGATATTAACAATATTACATGGTCTGATCATACAGATAGCTGTGTATGTTAGGGGACTTTCTTCAAGCACACCATGGTCTTGTCGTCTAAACTCCTCCTTTTTAACAGATTATTTTTTAGAGAACGATACGCCAGATGTGGACAAAGTTATCATGTGTGCAGCCCATAAGCCAGTGATCAGAGGCTCTTTAATTAATATTGCCACAGATTATTTATCTGATTTATAGATCGAACAGCCTTAAGTGGCGGTATTTCTTTGGATATGTCATTATTGCAACCAGAGCACCAGGTACCATTAGATTTAGGTTGGAGTGCAGGAATTGGTTTTGTTTTATATATATATATATAAAACAAAACCAATTCCTGCACTCCAACCTAAATCTAATGGTACCTGGTGCTCTGGTTGCAATAATGACATATCCAAAGAAATACCGCCACTTAAGGCTGTTCGATCTATAAAAATTATTTTAATCCAAAACCACCGTCAACGTTTCAGCTCCCCATGGAGTGAATTTGTGGGAGTAGTAAGTCCCCTACTTAAGCTCCCAGCCCCTACTCACCGCTGCCGCTCAGCTGATTGTCCCCACCCACCTACACCCTGTTTTAACTACATTATCCTTGGTGGGCCCTCTTTTATTTACAGGCCCACTCGTACGTTGGTTTCGGCACACCACAACCAACTTTGCTCACAGTTACTATCCATCACGTATTTAAATTCCGAGCACAAATATATATATATATAAACTTGAATCCCTTTATTCACTTCAAAAACCTTTGCACATATTGATATTTCAGTATAAAATTATTCTGTTGTATACTACACTGCAGACCATTAGAACAATATGCACAAAATAAAAAAAATGCTACTCTTAGATGATGTAGCTTGGTAAATTAAGTTCTTTATATTTTTCTGCAAAAGGGGCAAATGGGGTTGACACAATTCTGCCAATGTGCCTTAGACTACGGGCACATTATAGGGTGATAGGTGCCATTAGGAACCCATTTGTTGCTATAGTTTCATCACTTTATGAGAACTATGAATTGTTTCGAAACTTTTTCTCAAAATTGGACAGCCATACATGGGGTTCAGAAGGAGGTGGAGAGGGAGGTGAGACTAGTCTTGTGGAGTTTTGCGGGTCCCTAAAGTTACTTACTATATCTAATGATATGTTAGACCTGCCGGGAGCATAAAATACACCAGAGGTAGAGTTGAGCGAACCCGAACTATAAAGTTCGGGTTTGTACCGAACATTAAGATTTTTTGACCCGGAAACCGAGCCCGGACATTTCAGTAACAGTTCGGGTTCGAGTTTGGCGATTTAATGGCGTGTTTTGAAAAGCTGCAGGGCAGCCCTTTAACAAGCGTTTGACTCGTGTGCCCTTAGAAGCCATCACAGCAATGCCTACTAATGGCATGGCTGTGATTGGCCAGTGCAGCATGTAACCCAGCCTCTATGTTAACATTTTGTTTTTTAAACGGGGCCCCCCTCCCCAGCCCCCACTCGTGAAGTGTGAGTGGGGGCTTTTAATAGCGGCGGGTGGGGGCCCTAAAGTAAAAAAAGGGGGGAGGACCTATTGTCCTCCCCCCTGGCCCCCACCCCTGAGCAGTAGGTGGGGGCCCTAAATAAAAATTGGGGGGCCCTAATGTCCTTTCCCCTGGCCCCCCCACCCCTGAGTGGTGGGTGGGGGCCCTAAATAAAAATTGGGGGGGCCTAATGTCCTTTCCCCTGGCCCCCCCACCCCTGAGTGGTGGGTGAGAGCCCTAAATAAAAATTGGGGGGGACCTAATGTCCTCCCCTCTGGCCCCCCCACCCCTGAGTGGTGGGTGAGAGCCCTAAATAAAAATTGGGGGGGACCTAATGTCCTCCCCCCTGGCACACACCCCTGAACGGTGGGTAGGGGCACTAACTAGCAATTAAGGGGGGACCTTCAATTAGGCTCAGAGCACTCTGATTGGTGGGTTTAAGCCATCCAATTAGAGAGCTCTGACAGGTAAATGAAGAGACTGACGGGTTAGTCTCTACATTTACCTGTCACAGCACTCTGATTGGTTGGCTTGAAATCCACCAGAGTTCTCTGTGTCATTTTATACAGCGTGGGAAAGTTCTTTGGAATTTTCCCACGCTGTGTAATTTGACTCATAACACTCTGATTGGTAGATTAAGAAACCAATCAGAGTGTTATGAGTCAAATTACACAGCGTGGGAAAAGTGCTCTGAGCCTAATTGCAGGCCAGGGCAAGGCTTTATAAGCCTTTATAAGCCTTGCCCCACCCTGCAGAGCTCAGTCTGCGAGGAGTCCTCCATGGGTGAAGATGGATTATTTTTTTTGCTCTCGTTTTTATTTATTTATAATATTTTTATTTTTTAAGTGCGCCGGTTATTATGGATTTTTATTTGGCCTTTTTTGGGGCTGAAAAAAGATTATAGAAGAAAGAAAACATCAAATGGCAAGTTTTATTTTATTCATTTTTTTTTACAGGTACTTAGCTAATGGTCCCCCCTCATTATTTTTAGGGTGAGGGGGTAGGTAGGGGTTCATTTTTGGGGGGAAGGGGGTGGACTAGGGGTTTGGGGACCACTAGTCACCTGGGGGAGGGGGTTACTTTTTTATTTAGGGCCCCCACCCGCCGCTCAGTGGTGGGGGCCAGGGGGGAGGACAATAGGTCCCCCCCTTATTGGTATTTAGGGCCCCCACCCACCACTCAGGGGTGGGGGCCAGGGGGAGGACATTAGGTCCCCCCCCTAATTGCTATTTAGGGCCCCACCCACCGCTCAGGGGGGGGTCAGCGGGGAGGACATTAGGTCCCCCCCAATTTTTATTTAGGGCCCCCACCCACCGCTCAGGGGTGGGGGCCAGGGGGGAGGACATTAGGTTCCCCCCTAATTGGTATTTAGGGCACCCACCCACCACTCAGGGGTGGGGGCAAGGGGGGAGGACATTAGATCCCCCCTTATTCTAATTTAGGGCACCCACCCACCGGGTGTGGGCCAGGGGGAGGACAATAGGTTCCCCCCCCATTATTTTACTTTAGGGCTCCCATCCGCCGTTCAGGGGTGGGGACTCAGGAGGTGGTAACTTCACTGTTTAATAGACATGCCCCTACTCGCGGTATAGCGAGTAGGAGCATAATTTGCTAATACTAAGTAATCTTTACTTAGTATTAGTAAATGTGTCTGAAAGACCAATGCAGGTCTTTCAGCCTTTTAGTAGATAGCTGTCTAATACCGTGGGAATTAGGAAGTTATCTACTTATTCATTCCTGTCATTACATTGACTGGCCAAGTAACTTACATTGTATATGAATGTGTGTTACTTGATTGTTGTAAATGTTGCAAATGCTTACAGCTGAATCCTGGCTATGTTTGTATACTTTTTATTTAAAATTGTATACAGTGTAACATTCTTCTTCTTCCACTGGGTAAGTATATTAGTACTTAGGCAATACATTTTACTTTCCTTTGCAGCCCTCTAGCCCTTTCCAGGACTTTTTTAGAGCCATTTTAGTGCCCAAAGGTTCAGGTCCCCATTGACTTCAATGGGGTTCGGGTCAAGTTCGAGTCCCGAACTCAAACTTTTTGCCGAAGTTCGGCCGAACCTGGCGAACCCAAACATACAGGTGTCTGCTCAACTCTAACCAGAGGAGAATAAAAAGGCCATTTCATCCTTGGCATGGAGACAACCCCTGAGAAGGGTTGTCTTCCTTCAGATATGATAGGGGTCAATATTATAATGGACCCTATTATAGTTAGTAAATATTGGCATATATCATTAATCAACACTGATTCAAAAATACTAGTGAAAATACCTATCTAGGGTAGTTTCTATTTTAATACATTCATATCGGGTAGGTTTCATACCAAGTAGACAGCTGGATGTAAATATACGTCAAGTAGTGGATCTGGCATGGCATGCAGAGGTGGGGAAAGTACCTTCTTTGCTCCTTTCTTTGGATGCAGAGAAGGCATTTAATATAGTTACCTGGCCCTACTTATTCTCCCCTTTGCAGCATTGGGGATTTCAGAATCTGTATTGCATACCATTAGAACACTTTATTGCAATCTTCAGGCATATGCTCAGTTTTCTGGCTCTTCTGTTGCACATGATAGGGATGTCCTCTGTCCCCAATTCTGTTCACCCTTTTGTTGGAACCTCTCTTACATCCTATTAGGGATGATGGTGTGTTTTGGTCGGACAGAATAGCTTTAAGGTAGCAGCATGTGCTGATGATATCTTTATCTCCTTACTTGATCCTGCCGATCATAGATTCTGCTGTTCCATCTCACGGAACTACTTTGGCACATTATTGGGCTGCAAGGTGAACATTTCTAAATCATATGCAAGCCTCCTTCATATATGTCCACAAATGAGGAAGATTATTGTTTTTGTTTCAAGCATTGCTGATTCGTGTTAGCTTTTAGATGCACTCCAAAGAGTGATTGATGGGTTTATATTGCAGAATACACAGCATAGAATGGCAAGAAATACATTATATAGAGCCAGATGCAAGGGTGGATTAGGCCTTCATAACTTCCTTCTCTATTATTATGCAGCACAATTGGCCCAAACTGGAATGTGACACCCAGCACCGCTAGGTTAATCTTGAGGCAGGGTTGATGACTCCTGATTCACCCTCCTTCTACATGTGGCTCAATGGATCTTCTAGGGCACCCTTAAGCATGTTATGCTCATCTATCCTTAACTTGCTACACTTATGGGCTAGATTGAGAAATAAATACAAGCTTTCCAACTATACCTCACCACCCCAGTATTCTGGAATACTCAGCTTACCATGGGCATGGCACCATTGGGCTTTAAGAACCTCAAGGCTGTGGGAATTAAAAGTTTATACCATCCATGGCCAGAAGCATCTATTGATTCTTTAAAACAAGTGAAACCATTAACGGCTGTTGATTTTTTTCATTATATTTAGGAACTTTGCAGTTGGGGTTAGGGAGGCAGCATTTTCCCCTTTCATGAACTTTAAGCATATATGTAATTTAGGTATATATATATATATATATATATATATATATATATATAGTGATTAATTTCTATTCTTTACACACATTTATATAAAGACCTATGCATATGGGGCCAATTAAAATATATCTCCAAATGGGAGCTTCAAGAAATATGGGAAGCAACTTCTAAGATATGTTTGTGTTACATCACAGGAACAAATGTATACAATTTTATTTTGTTGGCATGACACTCCCATTTGGTTATACAGAAAAGGGAAGAAACCTGACTGCCTCTATTGACATTTATGTGGCCAGAAAGGCACATACCTTCATATGTGGCTGGATTGCCCAAAGTTATATACATGTTGAAGGTGTAGAAAAATCTTGTGGAGGTCATTCTCCAGAGGTCTATCGATG